GGGGCGGCCGGCGGCGGGGGGCGGCGCGGCCGGGTGGCTGGAGCAGGCGCGGGCGCTGCGCAAGGACCGCGCCGACAACGACGAGGACTCGGACACGGGGCTGAGCTCCATGCACAGCCAGGACTCGGACTCGGTGCCCGTCTGCGAGTCCCTCGTCTAGCGCCCTGCCCGTCCCGCAGCCCCGGGGGTGGAGGGGCGGGCTCCGGGCTGGCTCGCAGCGAAGCCGGGCACGGTACGGGCGGCGCGGTGTCCGGTGCGGTGTCCGGTGCGGGCGGAGCGAGGCTGCCGGGGCAGAGGGAGGTGTAGGACTGCGGGCAGGAGAGAGAACTCCCGCTGCGGGAGGCAGCCGCACGGAGGAAACGTTTTAATGTTAGCTCTTGAGCTGAAACTTGTTGTAACTAGCCATCCCGGGCAGCGTTTGGGCTGGCTCGCCGGTACTAAAACGTTTTAATGTTAGCTCCTGAGCTGAAACTTGTTGTAACTAGCCATCCGCGGGCAGCGTTTGGGAGAGAAACCCACAGCCTGCTTTTGTTTCGTTCACGTCTGGGATTGCTCGCTGCTTAAATCCTGCTGCCTGCTTCCCTCCCGAGGTCTCCTTGCTAGGTCTTTTAATCCTACGATGTCCCTAGTGTAGCACAGGCTACTTGGGATAGGCTCTTTGCGAGTAACAGGCAAAGGAGGCAGGCTCCCTAGGGTAAATCAGTTACCTCCTTACCATTTTCTCAGCATTGCAAAGTCAGATGGTGGGTTATACTGGTTGTCATTTGCAAACACACCCGACGCCTTTAACATGCAAAAAGCCACCGAGACTAAAGCTGCTGGTCGTTTAAAAACTAGGGAAGAAAAGAGATGTCAATGCTACTGAAAGTGACACTGGCATCTCCCAGGGGGAAAGCTTTTGGAAGGTACTGCAGGTCCTTTTGGCGGCAAAAAGGGGTGATAAAGAACTTTTTTTAAAAAAAACACCACCAAAAAGAACCCAGACTAAGTCAAAATACAGATTAACATGCTGTATTAACTCTGCTCTGCGTAGTGCTTTTCTAATGCATAGATAAGAGTGCTTTGTTTAAAGGCATACTAAAGAAATATATTGGTATCAAATGTTTATTTGACAGTCATTGAAAGTAATTAGCGGTGCCTGTGTACACAGCCTTCAACTACATTTTTTGCACTAGGCTAGCTGATATTTGGCTGAGCTTGGCTGTAGATAAACAAAGTACAGAATCAGCTTGAGCTACCATTTTTAATGCCATAGTTCCTATCAGGCCAAGAGACACAACGATAAAAGCATGACTCAAGCCCTACCTGCACTACAGCTTAATCTTTTCAGTTATTCCAATTAAAAAAAAAAAAAAATACGGCATCAGCTGTAACATGCATTTCACTTAACTGCCAAGTCTTCCTCTGCAGCTTAACTCTTACCAAAAAGATAGGATCTGCTCTTACAATAAGAGACATTAAGGATTCTTATATTCCAGAATAATTGCAGAAACAGTTTAAGCAGTTAGAGACCAGAGAATGTTTAGTCAGGTCCGACTGACGTTGTGAACTTTTTTAAAACTTCTGAGATTATTATTTATGTAAGGCTATTTATGAAAGTTTTCATTTAATGATAAAGTATAAAAGAGGGGTACACCAATAGACCAGTTCTTTGTTTTCTATATAAACCTCACAGCTTCCTCACCTGAAGACCGGGTTCCACTCTTTTGCAGCATTCTTGCTGGTAGGAATTCTGTTGGACAACAGACAACTAGACTCTGCAACCGGTCAGTTTGAAAGCAAGCAGAGAAATACTGGCTGTGGGTTTCTTGGGGGTATACAGTTCCCTATACATCATCATTCTTGATAAATGTTATTCCACTGAATTGGTCTCGGTTATAACAAACTGGTTTATTTTAAACACTGATTATATAATTTTTCTTCATATTTTAGTCAACCTTGGAAAATATTTAAGAACCTATTTTTAGAGCTAATAAAATTCTTATTAAGACTAAATGAGCATTCCCAATTGAGTGTGATTAAAAAATACGTATATCTGTATATATATTTCTCAGGTCTGGGATGTTGTGTTTTCTTGTAGTGTCATTGACCCTCTTGCGGAGTGAATAGAAATATACACCAAGTCAGACATCTCCAGTCTGTCTCAGGACAGCACTGTCCCCTCACTTTCTGATGGCACCAGGTGCTCCCTCAGGTACGAGTTACGGAGTGCGTGTTCCTCAGATCTAGTCACTGCAGGGGCAGGGCAGCGTAGTGGCATTTAGAAGTGTTGGCACTTGCCCAGAGTGAGGAATTTCACTCTGCTCTGCAATTAAAAATATTTATATGGAAGTAGTGCTGAAAAATAAGTTAGGGGGTGGGGGAGTCGTGTTGTTGCCCTGCATTATATTAGCCAGTGTGGATGCAACAGGTGGGTGATGCAAGTATCTGTTGATAGCTTCTCCAGCGACTGATGTAAGCAATAAACCTGAAACTGCTTTACGTAAGTTCTCCCATTAGACACACCAAGCAAATAAAAAGCAAGCACATCATAGAAATAAGCTGCAACAGGCCATACATAATTATACTATTGATACAGGCGTTAGGTATTTTGTGAAGCGGGAGGTGAAGAAGCCAGGAAATTCAAAGTTGCAAAGCAAAGTCTGTCTACTCATCCTCAGGTAGGAAAATCCTTAAAACCAGGACAAAACCCCTTCTGCTCTAGGTCGTTGAGTGACACACTTGTAGGGTACCATGCAGTGCTTGCTCTTTGCCTCTCGGTACCCTAAATATTGATGTGGTAGATCATGACACTGCTGAGGTGCTGGTCGCTATCCCATAAGGATGGGTGAGAACACTGCAGATGGCACTGCAGTCTCAAGGTTTTTGTAGGAGCTGCAGTGACTTCCTACGAGCACATATTTGAATGTCTTCCTATATTTTGCAGGTGAAATGGGGTATATTTATTTGATATTTGAACAGTTACAAATGCAATTGCAACAGGCTAAGTTTTTGTTCCTGTACACAGACTGAATTCAAACATCTTCACAAATCCCTCTCTCTCTTAAACCATTATTAAAACATTAGTATACAAGAGGAAATCACTGTTTGCATTGGACCGGGTACTTCCCCCTTCCCATCTTCTGGACTTGCATATTCTCACTTAGATAATACAGACAAGCTACAAGATGCTTGGCTTTGACCGGGAATTTGGCTCTGGGGTTTTGCTAAGCACATAGCCAAGTGTTAAGAAACCTGATTCAGAATCACAGGTAGAAAGGTAGGATTTTTATCTCCTTTCCAGTTCTGAGAGAATGGAAGATAAAAAGAGCAGCAGAAAAAACCAACCAACATCACGACAGAAGTCTACCTTCTGGCACTGCCAAGAGAAAGGTGAAAGCTCTAACACACACCTGCTTTTCTTCTTACTAGTTTTTAAATACCTTTCAGTTCTACTTTCCAGAGTCAAGTCCAGTCTAACCTTTGTCTCATCCTAAGACCAGACAAGCAGATTTAGATAGTCATAAATCAAATAAAAAGCTAACAGAATTAAGAACTATTTAAGATAAATCTATGTACAGTACCGCTTTGCTCTATTTAGTCAACACACTATCTGCTCCTCAAAGGAATTGTCAGGGACCAAGGCCGCCAGGCCTCTCTCAGACACAATACCTGCAGAAATCAAAGGGAGTTTTGTCCAGGAGACATAATCAGAGTCCAATCAGGCCTTGGTTTCAGGCACCCTCTCAACAAGCATTATCAAGCACTACTACACAAGTCCTGTCTGTTTGCTGCCCTTGGCCACATCTTTTCTGACCCTACAGGGCACTTCTTTCTGTTTTGTGCCTGTACAAGAGTCCGTGGGACCATATAGTGAGCCGGATCAGGAAAAAATTGATGTGCTTTAATTTAGGCAAGTCCCTGATGTGGCTCAATGTCACACAAATACCTACACCGATGACAAAGAACAGTGGTAAAAATGAGAAATTGAAGGCAATGCTGACCTGCATGTTGGCAAAAGCTTAGTTCAGCCTGTAAACATCTCACAGAATAAAGAGAAAGTTTTTGCTGGAAGACTAAGGCTGGAGCTGAAGCTTCATTGACATCAGTTACACTCACCTATATTAAACCCAAAATGAGTCAGATAGTCCAGCTTTTAGCTTTGACCTTGTTTCAGAAACCCACTATCAAGCAATATTATCAGAATGAAGACTCTGTGTCAAATTCAATATATTTCTAGTCCTTAACACATGTAAGAGATCTGCCAGTTTGAATAAACGCTTTGTAGACATATCATTTGATGCCTTATATGGGGAGGGAGGAAGGGAGGCAAATACATTTACTGTAATGAACACCACTGACATGCAAAATGAATGACCTATTAATTATTGCCATTTATTCTAAAGCAGTCTGTCGCTAGCCAAATCAGTCTGGTTGATGTACAGTGACAGATTCTGTTCCAAAGAACCAACAGTCTTGGTGTCAGACAAGATATAGCTGAAGGAGGGAAGCAAGTAAGTGGGTGTGAGAGAAGGAAAACATGTCATCAAGCTTTCTTATTGACTGCTTGCGTGAAGCATGTTTTCCAGGTTTACTTTAAAAATAGTCTGTGTGCCTATGTCTGGAGAGACATACACTCAGACCCCCCCTCCTCCCAAATTCTACACTACTTTGGGCTTCCCCCCTTCCCCTTTCACTTGCACTGAGCTGGGACTATAGCTCAATACATGAAAAGGGCAGCACAGGCCTTGAAATAAAATAACAGGTCTGGTGAGCTGTGCTGGTTACTGAGTTGAAATACAAGCCATTGCAGATTGTTGGAAGCAGTTGTCCTTTGAAGTCACTTGATATTATTGCTCCTGAGCTGGCATACAGAGTTTAAAGAAATGAGCATCGCAAAGTGCAGGGAGTCTACACAGATGTTGCTTCTTTTATACAAACTCACATTGCTATATGAACTTGGAAGCTTGACAGAAAGGGAAAAGTTAATAAACACAAAGCAAAATTGGGCTCTGTATGCAAATCAGCCAAATATCTTCAAGCAGAATTGTCAAATAGTATTTTAAAAAATACTGCTTGCATAATTTAACACATTGTTGGTGTAAATGCATCAGAGCAGAAACTTCTATGCAGGGTGGATTGTCACACCCTTTCACACGCTGAATAACACTACTGAGTTGGCCATTGATTTCTTAGAGTGTACAGTACAAACTCTACCAGGGCATTAGCATACATCCTTAAAAATACAACTTCTGCAAGGCTTTGCACACTACCTACATATTAGTTTGTTTACATTTTAAGCTTTAATCGGAAAGTTTTATTAAAATCCCCTTCCCTTAGTTTTGAAAGTGTTCCAGAAACTCACTCCGGGCGCTGCGCAAGGACCGCGCCGACAACGACGAGGACTCGGACACGGGGCTGAGCTCCATGCACAGCCAGGACTCGGACTCGGTGCCCGTCTGCGAGTCCCTCGTCTAGCGCCCTGCCCGTCCCGCGGCGGGCCCCGCAGCGCCGGGGGTGGAGGGGCGGGCTCCGGGCTGGCTCGCAGCGAAGCCGGGCACGGTACGGGCGGCGCGGTGTCCGGTGCGGGCGGAGCGAGGCTGCCGGGGCAGAGGGAGGTGTAGGACTGCGGGCAGGAGAGAGAACTCCCGCTGCGGGAGGCAGCCGCACGGAGGAAACGTTTTAATGTTAGCTCCTGAGCTGAAACTTGTTGTAACTAGCCATCCGCGGGCAGCGTTTGGGAGAGAAACCCACAGCCTGCTTTTGTTTCGTTCACGTCTGGGATTGCTCGCTGCTTAAATCCTGCTGCCTGCTTCCCTCCCGAGGTCTCCTTGCTAGGTCTTTTAATCCTACGATGTCCCTAGTGTAGCACAGGCTACTTGGGATAGGCTCTTTGCGAGTAACAGGCAAAGGAGGCAGGCTCCCTAGGGTAAATCAGTTACCTCCTTACCATTTTCTCAGCATTGCAAAGTCAGATGGTGGGTTATACTGGTTGTCATTTGCAAACACACCCGACGCCTTTAACATGCAAAAAGCCACCGAGACTAAAGCTGCTGGTCGTTTAAAAACTAGGGAAGAAAAGAGATGTCAATGCTACTGAAAGTGACACTGGCATCTCCCAGGGGGAAAGCTTTTGGAAGGTACTGCAGGTCCTTTTGGCGGCAAAAAGGGGTGATAAAGAACTTTTTTTAAAAAAAACACCACCAAAAAGAACCCAGACTAAGTCAAAATACAGATTAACATGCTGTATTAACTCTGCTCTTCGTAGTGCTTTTCTTATGCATAGATAAGAGTGCTTTGTTTAAAGGCATACTAAAGAAATATATTGGTATCAAATGTTTATTTGACAGTCATTGAAAGTAATTAGCGGTGCCTGTGTACACAGCCTTCAACTACATTTTTTGCACTAGGCTAGCTGATATTTGGCTGAGCTTGGCTGTAGATAAACAAAGTACAGAATCAGCTTGAGCTACCATTTTTAATGCCATAGTTCCTATCAGGCCAAGAGACACAACGATAAAAGCATGACTCAAGCCCTACCTGCACTACAGCTTAATCTTTTCAGTTATTCAAATAAAAAAAAAAAAAAAATACGGCATCAGCTGTAACATGCATTTCACTTAACTGCCAAGTCTTCCTCTGCAGCTTAACTCTTACCAAAAAGATAGGATCTGCTCTTACAATAAGAGACATTAAGGATTCTTATATTCCAGAATAATTGCAGAAACAGTTTAAGCAGTTAGAGACCAGAGAATGTTTAGTCAGGTCCGACTGACGTTGTGAACTTTTTTAAAACTTCTGAGATTATTATTTATGTAAGGCTATTTATGAAAGTTTTCATTTAATGATAAAGTATAAAAGAGGGGTACACCAATAGACCAGTTCTTTGTTTTCTATATAAACCTCACAGCTTCCTCACCTGAAGACCGGGTTCCACTCTTTTGCAGCATTCTTGCTGGTAGGAATTCTGTTGGACAACAGACAACTAGACTCTGCAACCGGTCAGTTTGAAAGCAATCAGAGAAATATTGGCTGTGGGTTTCTTGAGGGTATACAGTTCCCTATACATCATCATTCTTGATAAATGTTATTCCACTGAATTGGTCTCGGTTATAACAAACTGGTTTATTTTAAACACTGATTATATAATTTTTCTTCATATTTTAGTCAACCTTGGAAAATATTTAAGAACCTATTTTTAGAGCTAATAAAATTCTTATTAAGACTAAATGAGCATTCCCAATTGAGTGTGATTAAAAAATACGTATATCTGTATATATATTTCTCAGGTCTGGGATGTTGTGTTTTCTTGTAGTGTCATTGACCCTCTTGCGGAGTGAATAGAAATATACACCAAGTCAGACATCTCCAGTCTGTCTCATGACAGCACTGTCCCCTCACTTTCTGATGGCACCAGGTGCTCCCTCAGGTACGAGTTACGGAGTGCGTGTTCCTCAGATCTAGTCACTGCAGGGGCAGGGCAGCGTAGTGGCATTTAGAAGTGTTGGCACTTGCCCAGAGTGAGGAATTTCACTCTGCTCTGCAATTAAAAATATTTATATGGAAGTAGTGCTGAAAAATAAGTTAGGGGGTGGGGGAGTCGTGTTGTTGCCCTGCATTGTATTAGCCAGTGTGGATGCAATGGGTGGGTGATTCAAGTATCTGTTGATAGCTTCTCCAGCGACTGATGTAAGCAATAAACCTGAAACTGCTTTACGTAAGTTCTCCCATTAGGCACACCAAGCAAATAAAAAGCAAGCACATCATAGAAATAAGCTGCAACAGGCCATACATCATTATACTATTGATACAGGCGTTAGGTATTCTGTGAAGCGGGAGGTGAAGGAAGCCAGGAAATTCAAAGTTGCAAAGCAAAGTCTGTCTACTCATCCTCAGCTAGGAAAATCCTTAAAACCAGGACAAAACCCCTTCTGCTCTAGGTCGTTGAGTGACACACTTGTAGGGTACCATGCAGTGCTTGCTCTTTGCCTCTCGGTACCCTAAATATTGATGTGGTAGATCATGGCACTGCTGAGGTGCTGGCCGCTATCCCATAAGGATGGGTGAGAACACTGCAGATGGCACTGCAGTCTCAAGGGTTTTGTAGGAGCTGCAGTGACTTCCTACGAGCACATATTTGAATGTCTTCCTATATTTTGCAGGTGAAATGGGGTATATTTATTTGATATTTGAACAGTTACAAATGCAATTGCAACAGGCTAAGTTTTTGTTCCTGTACACAGACTGAATTCAAACATCTTCACAAATCCCTCTCTCTCTCAAACCATTACTAAAACATTAGTATACAAGAGGAAATCACTGTTTGCATTGGACCGGGTACTTCCCCCTTCCCATCTTCTGGACTTGCATATAGATAATACAGAACAAGCCACAAGATGCTTGGCTTCGACAGGGAATTTGGCTCTGGGGTTTTGCTAAGCACATAGCCAAGTGTTAAGAAAGCTGATTCAGAATCACAGGTAGAAAGGTAGGATTTTTATCTCCTTTCCAGTTTTGAGAGAATGGAAGAGAAAAAGCAGCAGAAAAAACCAACCAACATCACAGAAAGGTAGGATTTTTATCTCCTTTCCAGTTCTGAGAGAATGGAAGATAAAAAGAGCAGCAGAAAAAACCAACCAACATCACGACAGAAGTCTACCTTCTGGCACTGCCAAGAGAAAGGTGAAAGCTCTAACACACACCTGCTTTTCTTCTTACTAGTTTTTAAATACCTTTCAGTTCTACTTTCCAGAGTCAAGTCCAGTCTAACCTTTGTCTCATCCTAAGACCAGACAAGCAGATTTAGATAGTCATAAATCAAATAAAAAGCTAACAGAATTAAGAACTATTTAAGATAAATCTATGTACAGTACCGCTTTGCTCTATTTAGTCAACACACTATCTGCTCCTCAAAGGAATTGTCAGGGACCAAGGCCGCCAGGCCTTTCTCAGACACAATACCTGCAGAAATCAAAGGGAGTTTTGTCCAGGAGACATAATCAGAATCCAATCAGGCCTTGGTTTCAGGCACCCTCTCAACAAGCATTATCAAGCATGACTACACAAGTCCTGTCTGTTTGCTGCTCTTGGCCACATTTTTTCTGACCCTACAGGGCACTTTTTTCTGTTTTGTGCCTGTACAAGAGTCCATGGGACCAGATGGTGAACCAGATCAGGAAAAAATTGATGTGCTTTAATTTAGACAACTCCCTGATGTGGCTCAATGTCACACAAATACTTACACCAATGACAAAGAACAGTGGTAAAAATGAGAAATTGAAGGCAATGCTGACCTGCATGTTGGCAAAAGCTTAGTTCAGCCTGTAAACATCTCACAGAATAAAGAAAAAGTTTTTGCTGGAAGACTAAGGCTGGAGCTGAAGCTTCATTGACATCAGTTTTGGCTGTGGGTTTCTTGAGGGTATACAGTTCCCTATACATCATCATTCTTGATAAATGTTATTCCACTGAATTGGTCTCGGTTATAACAAACTGGTTTATTTTAAACACTGATTATATAATTTTTCTTCATATTTTAGTCAACCTTGGAAAATATTTAAGAACCTATTTTTAGAGCTAATAAAATTCTTATTAAGACTAAATGAGCATTCCCAATTGAGTGTGATTAAAAAATACGTATATCTGTATATATATTTCTCAGGTCTGGGATGTTGTGTTTTCTTGTAGTGTCATTGACCCTCTTGCGGAGTGAATAGAAATATACACCAAGTCAGACATCTCCAGTCTGTCTCAGGACAGCACTGTCCCCTCACTTTCTGATGGCACCAGGTGCTCCCTCAGGTACGAGTTACGGAGTGCGTGTTCCTCAGATCTAGTCACTGCAGGGGCAGGGCAGCGTAGTGGCATTTAGAAGTGTTGGCACTTGCCCAGAGTGAGGAATTTCACTCTGCTCTGCAATTAAAAATATTTATATGGAAGTAGTGCTGAAAAATAAGTTAGGGGGTGGGGGAGTCGTGTTGTTGCCCTGCATTGTATTAGCCAGTGTGGATGCAATGGGTGGGTGATTCAAGTATCTGTTGATAGCTTCTCCAGCGACTGATGTAAGCAATAAACCTGAAACTGCTTTACGTAAGTTCTCCCATTAGGCACACCAAGCAAATAAAAAGCAAGCACATCATAGAAATAAGCTGCAACAGGCCATACATCATTATACTATTGATACAGGCGTTAGGTATTCTGTGAAGCGGGAGGTGAAGGAAGCCAGGAAATTCAAAGTTGCAAAGCAAAGTCTGTCTACTCATCCTCAGCTAGGAAAATCCTTAAAACCAGGACAAAACCCCTTCTGCTCTAGGTCGTTGAGGGACACACTTGTAGGATACCATGCAGTGCTTGCTCTTTGCCTCTCGGTACCCTAAATATTGATGTGGTAGATCATGGCACTGCTGAGGTGCTGGCCGCTATCCCATAAGGATGGGTGAGAACACTGCAGATGGCACTGCAGTCTCAAGGGTTTTGTAGGAGCTGCAGTGACTTCCTACGAGCACATACTTGAATGTCTTCCTGTATTTTGCAGGTGAAATGGGGTATATGTATTTGATATTTGAACAGTTACAAATGCAATTGCAACAGGCTAAGTTTTTGTTCCTGTACACAGACTGAATTCAAACATCTTCACAAATCCCTCTCTCTCTCAAACCATTACTAAAACATTAGTATACAAGAGGAAATCACTGTTTGCATTGGACCGGGTACTTCCCCCTTCCCATCTTCTGGACTTGCATATAGATAATACAGAACAAGCCACAAGATGCTTGGCTTCGACAGGGAATTTGGCTCTGGGGTTTTGCTAAGCACATAGCCAAGTGTTAAGAAAGCTGATTCAGAATCACAGGTAGAAAGGTAGGATTTTTATCTCCTTTCCAGTTTTGAGAGAATGGAAGAGAAAAAGCAGCAGAAAAAACCAACCAACATCACAACAGAAGTCTACCTTCTGGCACTGCCAAGAGAAAGGTGAAAGCTCTAACACACACCTGCTTTTCTTCTTACTGGTTTTTAAATACCTTTCAGTTCTACTTTCCAGAGTCAAGTCCAGTCTAACCTTTGTCTCATCCTAAGACCAGACAAGCAGATTTAGATAGTCATAAATCAAATAAAAAACTAACAGAATTAAGAACTATTTAAGATAAATTTATGTACAGTACCGCATTGCTCTATTTATTCAACACACTATCTGCTCCTCAAAGGAATTGTCAG